ATTATCCCATTTTGTGTTGCCCTCACATTTCTTCAACTGTTTGTATATGACATCCAGTGTCTGGCTCTACGAAATTTTATTTGTGGTTAGCTGTGAGAGGATCATATCCTGCTTCTTTCAGATCCTCTGTTTTGTCTGCTTTCCAGCAATCAGAAAAAATTGTACTACCGTCTGGGACATTTTTTTCATTCACGCCAAGTAAAGTTTTAGCTGAGGGATCCGAAGCAGCTACAAGAAACATTTTATTGTCTCTCTACGTAGGTCTCCGAAAACCCACTGTGGAGGAAGTACACGTCCACAGTTACCACTCGTAAAAAGACTCGTCAACCTCTACTGTTCTGTTATTCCCACCGATTTTAACTTCCGGTTTGCATAACAAGGCCGTGAGCGCAAACGTCCCGCATATAAGTATTATAGTCGACAAGTTTATTGTGGTTCATTTTTAATTGCATATTTCAAAACTCAGTTGAGGTCAGCTCATGGCACCAACAGTTAACAAATTTTACAACTGTAAAAAAATTTAGGCTCGATCCTTTAAAAACCATGGATGAAATCTGACACCTTTTTTTTTTTTTCCCCGGCAAGCTTTATGATTATTTTTACAAAATCTTCGCCTATATTCGAAGAATTTCTTTATCTTGTAATAATTTAACTCCTTCCTCTTCATCTTTAGGTAATTTCCAGCTAATGAAATCTTTTGTTTTTTCAAAAAATGCTTTTAGTCAAATAACATATGCAAAGAAAGTCATTTACCAAATTACGTTTCGTGTGGTTCAAAAAAGAAAATTCTACATATCATAACACAGGAATATTTGGTTCAATTTTACTCGTAAAACCGAGATGACTTAGCTGATCACATTGTTGCTATCTCCGGCACATTATTACGTATTTTAACAGTGTTCCTTCGGAATGCCCGTATAACAGAGAAGTACCCAGAATTTTTTCATTGTGGTGAAAATGCTACAATCATCAATCAGTTCATGTATGGTGAAATGTGTAGTATGGTCTTAAATCTAGAAAATATCGCTATAGATATTAAAGAAAGTGGCAGAGATTGCTAAAACAAAAACAAAAACAAAAAAATTATTGACAATTTAATGGGGATTTTCGAAGAGGCAGTTATCTGACTCAAATAATGGAACTTTGCTACTGAAGAAGAATTTGTGTCCGTCTATAGAATTAAAGAGAAATTGTTAGCGCAAAAAGGAAGCAAATTAAACAATTCGTATCGAAATAAATTTTTAATAAAGCAAATGGATGAATACTGAGCTTTTCTTTTTTGTAAATTTTGATTCTCTTTAGGTTGTACATACTTTGTTATTTCCTAAATTACTATTTCATATTTTTAATTTTATAATTACGATCTTTCTAGATTTAAACTTAAGATTTAATATGTAGAAAAATTCCAAATCCCGAATTGTCAAAGTCCCGACAATTCTGAATCTCGGACGTCGTACTATATCCCTGACAGCAGTCAGTAAAAGGTCGTGCTACACAGGATAAAAAAAAATTGCAGTGACAGTTTCTTTTTAAAGGATGTTCATGGTCTGAACAACCTTTTGATATTTAACAAATGCTGTTTAGCACTAGACAAAAACAAATCTAGAAGACGTTAAATCAAATCGATGGAACGTCAAGCATAAAATTGTTTAATTTTTGTGGCATTCGCACAGAATGAGGAAGTCAAACAGAGCTGAATAAATAGGTTCTGCATGCTTTCATAGAGGACTGGGAAATAAAATGCATTAATACTTTACCTTCTGTTTTGGCATGACATGAAAAGGAAAATTTTCTAGATTTCATTACAAGTGCTTTGTAATACTGCAATCCAATGCACACACGGTTAGCAGTTGGTAACTTGTGGAAAAATGCTCAACCCAAGCTGTATGGCATGAGTGTAATTTATTAAATAACAATTAGGTTACCTTTTTTCGTAATCTAAAAACAATCCTATTAATGCATTATAACAAATAACCACATATCTTAGAAATCCCAGAAATATTGCCATCTGATTACCATGCTTTTGATTTCAACAAAGTTCTTAGTTGTGTTAGAAGATATCAAACAGTATTCAGCCTCCAAAGTTGATTTATGGTTTTTGACATAGTCTTAAAAGCCAGATGGGAAAAGGTGATAGACGACGTGACTACGTTAGCTATTATGTGTGTTTTCTGTGTGATACAATTTCAAAATACATTAAATAACGTATTTTGAAATTAAGTAATAAATGCGTTATAAATGCCTTTCTAATTATGCGTTATAAAATATATTTTTATGTCTTATTAGGGCAAGCTATAAAATTATAAATTATTATAAAATTTTTAAAAGTGTGAAAGCTAGTAGTGTATACGCCCGAGCTTTTATGGTTCCACATGGAAAGACATGGAAGTCTGTACGTCCAACCAAAGAAATATTACCCCAAACAAAGACAGTGCCTTCTCCTTATGCTTCTCTTTTACGGATGTTTGATGGATGAAAACGGGTTCCAGGTTTTCTCCAAATCAAATAACGGCTAATATCGTTCTAGAGGCCAAACCTCGGCTTATTCGTAAACAGCTCTCTATTGATCAGCTGTTCAATGGACATGTTGATGGGCCTACCTCAAAAGTTTCCTTCTGTGACGTACCGTTAGCGGCAATGCAAATGTTTGGGTGCCTCGTGTATAGACCTCCTTCGTGAATCCTTTTACGCATGGCTGACGTTGACACCAACCTTCCGATGTCTGCTACAAGGGATAATCTGAGTTACGTTAGAGTTGCGGTTCCATTCCTTCGTGCTCATAAATACAAATATCGGTCATAGGCACTCGTCGCAGCGGTTGGTCGTCCTTGGCTGAAACTCCTGAATGCCGAATATATGGTTAGAAATTTTTGCTAAAGTTTACGAACCACAGAAGACCTCATATTTAGACATCTGGCCATTTCTATCTGGTTTTATTCTGCCTCTAGTCTCCTAATAGCTCTCCATCGCAGTTCTTCGGGCAAATGATGGAGAACATTATTACAAATTTGCTATCCCAGATTTCTTAACTTAGGATCAAAGCAATTTGTAAGCTTTCTTTGAAATATGCAATTTTATGCTCCGCGCAGATGAGGTATTTCTATTGCTGTGCCACTAATTTGCATACTGCAGTTTTACTCAACAATTCTTATTTGACAACATAGTCAAATTTTAGCATTGGCTTATATTTGAATGAGTAAATGAGTTATCATTAATTTTGTATTTGAACTTTTCACTGTATGAAAACTCTACCAAATAAAGTAATAGCAATTGTTTATGCATTATCCTTTTGAAGCAGGAGTCCTAAACTTAAAATTAGGCATACGAAATTCTCTTTTGGTTCTTACAAACGTTGAAAGTAGAAAATTTTTATTTTGTACCTGCTATACACTGAATGTCTGCTAATCAAAGGAAAAGAAATACTTATTGAATATTTCAAAGTACCACTTTGTATTGGTAAGAGGTTATAAATATTAAGTTTTTTTGTTTTAATATAATTTTTCAATTTCAGAAACAAATACCTATTAAAGATTCTATTGAAAAAAGAACTAAAGCATTACTTCGCTTTTAAGTAATTTAATACCATTAAATTTCAGTTCAAAAGAATCAAATGAAAAGAAAATCGTTTAAAATTTATTATTCCAGTGTTAGTTTTTAACTAATTTAGTTCCCAGAATCTCATGTTTATGTTTCAGTATCCACTGCTGGCCATTAAAATTGCAACACCAGGAAGGAATAATCTGACGAACGTGAAAATCACATGAAAGGAGGAAGAGGTTGGAATATGCAAATGAATTGCGCATTTAGACGACGCAGGAGGGAGAAACGACATTTGAAGAACTGCATAAAAGAAAAGTTGTGTAGTAGATTTGTTAATCGGAAAGCGCTTTGCAAGGTCGGATTTTGCTCAGAATATCGTGTTATATCTCGAATAAAAAGAAATGCCCAGTATCCGCTCATACGGTGTATCGACGTTTGCAGTAGCGTGAACTATCAGCACAGCGACCATTAATTCGGCTCTCCTTGACAATGCAGCATAAAGAGGGACGGCGACTCTAGTACGCCGAACGGCAAAGTTGGATACAGGAGTGGCACAATGCCATCTTTTCAGACGAGTCCCGGTTCTGCGTGCAGTATTCTGATGGCCGTATACGTGTCTGGAGGCTCCGAGGAGACTGCACGTCGCCTGCTTGCTTTCAATATCGGTGTAGGGACCCTGTACTTGGTGTGATGATTTTGGCAGCCAATGGGCTCACGACTTGCACATCTCTAGTTCGGATCGACGGTAATTTGAACGCAGATCGCTACATTTTTGAAATTTTATGTCCAGTGGTTGTGCTCTATCTTCGAGGCTTGCCAAACGCCATCTTCCAACAAGATAATGCAAGACCACATGTTGCACGTCATGTTCTGACCTTCCTCAATACCCAATGTGTTCGACTGCTGTCCTGGCCTGCGCGGTCTCCAGATGTGTCACGTCCGGTAATAGTTTGCTGAGAGACTTCCCGCCATCCCTTTTCAGGTAGTACGGTTGATGAAGTGTGGCATAAAGTTGAAACAGCATGGAATGAGCTGCCCGTTTCTGTCATCAGAGCCCATTTCAACTCCATGCCTAACCGGGTGAAAGCCGTTTTAACTACCATGAGTTGTAGCAGTTTCTACTGATTTCGCAACCCTGTGAACCACCAAACTGCTTACCAATTTCATCATTTTGTGTTCATGCTATATCTTTTACATACATTAAATATCTCTTTTGTATTTGCTTTCCTTCATGTTGTTGCAATTTTAATGGCCAGCAGTGTATATAAATGCACACTTATAGGCATACTTCATGATCCTAGGAGTAAATGTTTCAAATATTCCTCTTATAGTGAAAATTAAATTTAATATAATAAAATGCTACTAAACTCAACATAATTTTCTTGATATTTGATTTATGAATATCAAGAAATTGATGTTTACTACAATACGCTTACTGAGACAAATCGGGTGCAACGAACATGGCTGTAAATACTTCAAGGAGACTGCTTTTCAATTCCAAATGCTATATGATTGCATTTGCTTTTTAATTTATTTGGACGCTATCCCAAACTAATGCAAATTTGGTTTAATTGTCTATATCATTTCAGTCGCATTTCTCCGTGAAAAAATATAACTATAAATTTCTTCCTTATAATATTTTTTAATAATGTAATAAAAATTTACTTTTTTAATTCTTCTGTAAATTCTTTTTAACAGGTAAAATTAGTAAGTTCGTACACAGGCGATATCAGTATTTTAGGTATAGCGGAAACTTTTGTTCTACGTTTAAATGCCATTGATGCTTGTGCCTGTCTAGTTGAATGTATGTTGCTGCTGGAGGAATTTCCTGCCACCGTACAGGCATTGCATGAAGCTATTCAGAATATCTTAGATGCATGTTACGAGTTGCTGAAAAATAAAGGATTGAAGAACTTTTTGAGACTGGTTTTGATCACGGGAAATTTTATGAATAGTGTAAGTTTTAAATTTCCTATATGAATGAACTTTATTAATAAATTTTCTTTATTTCTAGGTTCTGTTTATAAATTTTTAGATTAGTTTTTATTTTGTGATTTGGACAATTATTGTTATTTTCTTTATTTCTAGGTTCTGTTTATAAATTTTTAGATTAGTTTTTATTTTGTGATTTGGACAATTATTGTTATTTAATTACAAATTTTTGTATAACACATTTATTACTTTATTATTTTCTTTCAAGTAGTAAATCATGAGTTCCTGTTTATCTATTTAATTCATTAATTTAGTTGCATTTTAAATGAATTATCAGACTAATCTTTTCATCTATTATCTTTTCATCAGACTAATCTATTCATAGTTACGTAATGATAACGATCAAAATCCTTCAGCAGGGTGATAACGATTGCATTTATAAATAATCTCATTTCCAGGCAAGGGGAAGTATATTTTGGAATGAATTATAATAATTAATATCTTCTGGCGTCTGAGTTTAAGTTAAACTTGAACAATGTCACTTAAAGAATAAAACTGTAGGAATCTTAAGCAAGTATTTTGATAAAAACATATGCACTAAGTATGTTATATTCATACTGGGAAAATCTGGCAATCTACTAAAGCTGATATCCGGTAAGGTCTTAAAAACTTCGAGCTACTTTAGTCAGAGGTCTGAAATTTTCCCTACTTTCCTTTCAGAAAAAGAGAAAAATCAGTTTATTACTATGAATTAATCACAATTATATGAAGCTAATTTAAAAAAGATTAAGCATTGTTATGAATTTTTAATATGTATGCATAATTTTAATGAAATTATATGTGATACTGAAGTATCTTTTGTATAATGTAACATAAAATGTTTAAAAAAGAAAACCTCTGTCGGAAAAAAAAAGGTTACGGGGCAAGTCTATTTGACATTATCCGGCACTTATAGATAACAGTATGTGCCTTCCAGTAATTTCGAGAAATGGAAGGTTCTAGAGATTTCTCGGCGACCAGGTGAAAACTATATAAGACCGGAGACAGCAATTGTTCCCAGTCGTTAGTTCAGAGCTGACTTCCGAGTATTGAGAGGCCTCCGTGAGAGCTTCGTCTATTAAATGGGCCTTGCACTGCGTTGTGCTTCCTATTCTTAGTAATTTGAAGTGTAACTACTGATTCTGCTCTGTGATACCGAGAAGAGCTGTACGAGTACGTTTCAGGAAAGTTCCAGAGCTGTAAATTGTTTCTTTTGGGAAAATAAATTTTATCAAGTTATCATCGGTTTCTGTATGCGTTCAATCCACTATGAACCCGTAGGCCCGCAGCAGTATTCATACCCCAAAAATCAAGAACAGCGTTTTAATAATCGTTGAATCAAACATTAATAAGAATTGATCCCAAGTCAAAATGACCGACAACAGTAGCGTTCTTAGCATACCTAGGAATGAAATGCAAAACTCTGTAATCTGTCCCTTTTAAATTTCTGACGAGTTTAAAAGGAATTAATAAACCTGAAAAGACAACAGCTATTTTTTATGGGAGAGAATAAGCAGACAGGCGGAACTATATTGCCTTTCAAACAACAAAAATAAAGTTAAAAACTTATAAATATATTTAGGGTGATTCTAAATTACTTTTACAAATTAAGAGGGGTGATAGTACTCATGCAGATGAGCAATAATTACCATAGAACATAGGGCCGCATTCCACTCTAAGAGGCAGAAAAGAAGAATATTAAAATTCCAATCTGAACTTACAACAGTGTTGGGAGAGCGAATGAAAGACACCAAATGTTGCACAATTAATTTAGTGACAAACTCACAGAGTGCACAAAACGAATAAAACCGATAACTTGGCGTTCGAGTGTAAATTCGAGCTGAGACTTTGATGGCTAACACTCAAATGCACATCTTTCGTTGGCAAGGTCTCAACCTCGCAAATGATTGCAACAAGTTAATAATCTAAATTATCAGGGAGAAATTATCTATTAGGGGAAAAAACTAGTAGTTGTTTTTCTCTTTGTCATCTTCTATCTTGTCTTCCTGGACTCAATCTACTGCGCTTATTCTACTTTAAGGGCCCTTCTATGGGACGCGAAGTTCTTACAGCGGGAACGCAGCATGAGCTTTTCATGCTAATCTCGGCATGCAGCGGACGTCGTTTTCCCAACATTGTTGTAAGTTCAGATTGGAATTCTAATATTCTTCTTTTCTGCCTCTCAGAGTCGAATGCGACCCTATGTTCTATGGTAATTATTGCTCATCTGGATGAGTACTATCACCCCTCTTAATTTGTAAAAGTAATTTAGAATCACCCTGTATATACATACATATATAAGTCAGAGAAGGAAACATTTTATCTTGTACCTTGCAACATCTAAAGGTGTCTACTTAAGTAAACTATTTGTTATCCACCTAACGCTGAAATTATCTCTTTTGTTTAGCGAGTTCCTGTCTAAAAACTAACATACAATTTTATTTTCCACGGCTTGTCGTATTATAACTAAAAATAATTAAAAATCCGATTACTCCTCAACCTCAACTTGCTGCTAACCTGTAGTACATTGGTTGGATTATAATTCAAAAAAGGTCTACGCGAAGCTACAAGGCTATCGGGTCGGATAGAAACACACAAGTAGCTTTCAGCACTTACTGAAGGTGATTAGTGTCAAATGTTCATTTAAATTATAAATGTCACAACCTCTTTCTCTTACTGATTCTAGATTGGGTTCTTAGGCTCACACCGTAAAAAAAAAATTCTGAAACGTTACTAAAAAAACTCATGGAAATTGGGATGCCATGCGATATTTGAGTAACAATAACAGGTGCATTCTTTGTAACTTTACAAGGATTATGCCTGTAATGGTTACAGATCTTTTCTTGTCATATTACAGCAAATAATTATGGAAGCAGAACATATTTCTCTCATGTAAAATCCCAAACGATACATCTGTAATGTTACAGATTATTTGCGTGTAATATTACAGCAAGTAATTATGTAAAAAGAACATGTTTTTCTCATGTAAAATCCCAACAGATATATATGTAACCATTACAGGTTATTTGCTTGTATTATTTCAGGAAGTAATTATGTTAGTATAACGTACTTTTCTTATGTAATATCCCAAACTATGTATCTGTATAGGTTAGAGATTATTTGCTTCTTATATCACATTATGTAATTACATATGTTGAATGTATTTGTTACAACTGAAATATTAAAGGATATATCTGTAAAGATAACAGATGTTTTGTCTAAAATGATGGCTTGTTATAATAAAGTATGTTGAATTCACTATTCAATATGTTTGAGTAAAAGAATGGTATGTATATATATACACCATTCTTTTAGGAAAATATTCTATTGCAGAGTTCTTTTGTTTTAATGAAGAGAAACTTAGCGCGATATAACTGAAAGGTTTTTCAAATTATTACCAATCTGAAGAAGAATTTTGATTAATTTAAAAGTTCCAAATTGATATGCTTCTCTTTAAATTAAATTTATGTTACAACAGAAATCCTTTATATTACCAAGTATCCTTTATATTATATAACAGAAGGGGATCTTAAAATTACATTTGTCCTATGAAATATCTGAAAAAAATCAGTATGCCTCATTTTAGTTTCAATTCATAAGGTAACTTTTTTCCGTTCAGTAATCTTAACTGAAATAGACAGATACTGCTTTAGATTAACCTTATTTGAGTAAATGTATTGCAAGTGCAGGATGATATGATTACATTATTACAGTACAACACATTTTGCAAAGTATTTCTGTTAAGAACTCAAAATAGCTTTTCTCCATGCTTCAAAAACATTATTCTCTCTCCATCTATAAAAAAGTATTTCCAGTAAGGAATACAACACACCAATGAACCTCATTTTGTTACCACTTGGTATCCAAACTTTGTTTCGTATGTTTGAATTACATCGCCCAACTATTCTTTTTATTCTTATCTGTACTCTCTGTCAACAACATGTAACATTACAATTAGAAGTTTATTCAGTCTACTACTCTTTGAAATTACAGATGGTAGTTGCATAACTTTTAATTTCCCTTGAATTAATAGCAAGAGTTCTTTCATTAAAAATCAAATTTTATGCTTTTTAAGAAAGCACAAAATTTTACAAACTGAATTTTTCAAGCCTTGCTTCAATTAAAATACTTAATATAACTATGCCTTTAAAAATTTGTTTAAAAAAATTAATATTTCAGTTTAGCTTAAAAATAATGTATTTTTATTTTTTATAATTTTATTCCACTCTTCCCACAGATTTACAAACAAAATATGTAATAAATCTAAGCTTAGTTTTTACAATGCACCCAAAATTAACCAGTTTGTCATCACTTTCATACTAAATCAAGTTTCAAAATTGATTCTATGGAACAAAATCTTACAACTTAATTAATCATTCTTGAAATGTTTTATATCCGTAAAAACGTTCTCATTTTATTAAACAGTTTAAGTACTCTTCTCATTATCTATCAGTTAAAACTTCAAAGTTATACAACGCTCACTTATATTATCATAAAATAAAATGAAGTTTTGGAATAAAAGTAAATAAATAATTTCAAAGTTTACCGAACCACCATCGAAACTAGTCCTGTGAGAATTTTGAAAATATAACGCTGATTTTTGTTGTTTGACTTCTGAAAGTTATAATTGTTTATATGAAAAATTAATTTAATATTTTCAGTATGAAATAATTAGATGAATTTGCATGCATAAACGAAGCAATTATGGTTCAGCAGTCAAGGTTTATATCCTGAAAACAAATATCGCTGTTAGATGAATTTTAAATGTAAGGCCTGTAAAAATGCCATTCAACTCGTATCTAATTTATTAAATCATATTTAGTACAAAAATCTGAATTTAGTATTCTTTGTACCTTTTAATAATGAATTTCACTACACATAACTATTTTATTATATTATTCCTATTAAATTCTAAAAAATTATGAAGTTAAAAATTCATTAAAAGCAACAAATTATCAAATTAAGGAAAATATATTAAGCTAAAA